TGGAATGAAATTGTAATACACTACAGTGCATGGAAAAAATTGCAACACACTACAGAGCATGGAATGCAATTGCAACACACTACAGTGCATGAAATGAAATTATAATACACTACAGTGCATGGAATGAAATTATAATAGACTACAGTGCATGGAATGCAATTGCAACACACTGCAGTGCATGGAATAAAATTGTAACACACAACAGTGCATGGAAAGAAATTGTAACACGCTACAGTGCATGGAATGAAATTTTAACACACTACAGTGCATGGAAAGAAATTGTAACACACTACAGTGCATGGCAGGGTGACGATGCCTGAGTTTCAAGAGCACTTACATTAACATGACAATAATTAAGACAGTACCAATGATATCTGCCTGATGTAAGATTGAAACACTATACAGAATCAAATCTAGGGGTGTGCCTTATGAATACAGACATGCTCGATAGAAAATCTAGGGTAGTACCCACAAAACAGGGGCGCATGCCTAGTAGTACGTAAACTGTGTCTATATGCAACACGTACGAAGCCATTTACATACCGTAGCCAGGCCCACAAGAGCTCTCTTTGTCTCTGCAATAGTCTCATTAGCGGTTAGTGTACTGTTCACGAATATCCGTGACACATTCTCCGCAAACCGAGAGGTCAGTTCGGTATTATTATATCCGGACAACGTCTGAAGTCTCACTTGTAGATTGAGCGCAACATCCTCTACAGCCGGTGTTCTGTGCTCGTACAGATAGAGGATCTTCCCGAACACCGGGCCAAAGCAGACAATGCACAGCATGTATCCAAGCAGACCCCAAACAAGACTGACCATCTGCGTCTGTTGATGTGAAGGCAATAGGGAGTGTGCAAGGATACAGCTTAGACACACGCATGCAACCACGTAAGCAAGATAGGAGTCGACTGACCATATAATGTACAGTAATACATACAAGCACATCTGAGACACTCCGTGACACAAGCACAAGACCATATAATGTACAGTACTACATACAAGCACATCTGAGACACCCCGTGACACAAGCACAAGACCATATGATGTACAGTACTACATACACGTTTGGCCAGCCGGGTAGATTCCTCCTTCTGTCTCACTACTTCGGGGTCTGCATATTTCTTTTTAGACGACTTGTTCGCAGAGCGTCTCCGACTGAAGAAGTGTGACACGGCACTCAGATGACCAGAGCTCATATTCTCATTGCTTTTCTGTGTTTGAGACATAGAGTTATCCGCGCCTAAGGCATCGTTCTGCGGCATCTGTACGTAATATGGAAAAAGAATTGAAACATCGGCTTACAGCTTGTGCACGTAGCGATCGTCGCATAGGTGCACGTATCTAAACAGAACGGGAATTCATCTAAGTCTTACAATTCTGGAATAAAAACATCAAAACATTTTGTATATGCATATAATATATATAGCTTGGCTTGTACTGGCTTGTACTTGATATGTACGCGAGAAAAAACGTTGAGTACATGCATAGGCCATGAGTAATGGAAAAGTTGCGAACAATCGGAGTAACGCACAAAATAAGTAAGAACAATACATTTACATCCGAACACACATACAAGCATGCCAGCA